ACACATACAAGTGCAGGGAATCACAATCCATCTACATCTCTTGTAGGTTAATGTATGGAAGCCCATGTCAGCCACTGAAAAACAGGTCCTATAAGTCATCATAATGAGATAGTATCTCATAAGATACGATGATGACTTTGACTTACAGGACATTACTATACATGCAGCTGTCACTTTTATGTTTGACATAAATAATTGTATGTGGAGTAATTGGGGGTTAGGGTTCTTGCTCAGTGACACTTCAACTTGGCACAGGGAGCAGCCAGGATTCAAACCGCCAACCTCGTGCTGCACAGCACACCCTCCTTATCCCATGCGCCGCCTTCGCCGTCGTTTCAGTGGTTGGAATATAAAGATTATAAATATTTGTTTATTCAAAGTGTTCATTGCCTAAAAGTCATTTGAGTGTTAATCGTGACCGACTGCTCCTGAACGTGACGTCAGACGCGTAATCTCAGTTCATCCAGAACACCTGTGCAGTTCAACATCGGAGGAGTTTCTAATAATAATAGTAATGTTGGTAAGTGTTATTTGCCTAGCATGATTAACATTCTCCTTTCTAACATCTTGTTGTCTTCCTCAACTTTGTAAGTTTGAGGAGCAGGAGGAAATATCTCCCTACACCTTGTTGCCAGAAATGTTCGGTCGCTCCCATAACTACGAAAAAGGGTAAAATAACGGGCCTCTTTTTAAATATGTGGCGCGATTGACCTCAACACCCCTCAGACACTGTTTGGTCAGTTTCTGTGGTGCTTGCAACTTTAGAGGCAATTAGAGATCTGGTTGGACATTTACATAAAGAGGGGTTGACAGCATGCTTGTTTAATTGGCCTTAAAAGCCTGATTGGATTGGCAGTCACTCATGGGCAGTGCTGCTGGTTTGTTGACAGAAAGCATGGGGGGAAGGAGACAGGGAGCAGACTGCCAATCATCGCCCAACAGCTGCCCTCCTCTGAGACGTGGCCTATAAAAACAGCCCGGGATGGAGAAACACATATACACACAGACACGCTGGGACGTCGATGCAATATCAGGTCATCTTTCTATTCTGGTCTCGGCAGGAGAGGAGGCCGCTGAACACCATTGCAATGCAATTATTTGGCTTTGGGAATCAATAGTGGAGAAGATTAAGAGGAAGACACAGGTGGCTCTTTCTTCTCCCTCCACTTCCCTTCATCCCCTTGACTCCTCCATAGTCCCATAAGTTGACAACAAGGCTACAACAGCTGCCAAACTAGAGGGAGAGAGGAGCCACTGAGGGATACCAACAAGGACAGAACAGGAGCAGCTGTGAGTGGCTGAAACAGCTGATCAACCACTGATAGTAAAACGTCCCACTGTGTGGGTGAAATCAGAGATTAAAAAAGAGAAACTTCACTGTACGTAACACAGGCCACAGCTCGTCACAGTCTAAAGTTTTACACAGCACCTGTGGCCTCATTCCTTACAGCGCGCATACTGGCTTGCAGACTGACACCATGGTAAGACTGGGCCAATGTCAGTTGGTGTGTGTGTGTGTGTGTCTGCGTGTTGGTGTCTAAAGTTTCAGACAAGGTGGGCAGCCACACACTAACAGGGCACACACAGTCTGCGAGCCGTTTTGAGCGCCGGCTCCTTATTGAGCTGCCACCTCACTGTACATGCAGCCTGACTGACCCCAATAACCGGGCCGCCTCCACGCTAAACCAGCGGCTGACAATTCCTCTGCCATTCAACCCATTAGGAGCTTTTCCCCCTGGTTTGCCTGAAAGCTCTAGGATACAATAACCTTTGCATTTAAACAGGAGGAGAATTCCTTCTCTCAGATTTCTCCTTCACACTCAAATCTCCCCCTTTAACCGAAGGTAACACCATCCAGGTGACCCCCCCCCCCCCCCCCTCCTCTCCTTTTCCTTTCCTCCATTAACCTTTCGTGGCCTGCGTACCCTCGGGACTGGTCCTGTTCCCAGCTGCGTGTGAGAGTCACTCACTCAGCCGCTGCCCACGGGCCATTAGCACAGAGGCCTGTCATCTCCGGAGAGGGCTGAGCCGAGCTCGGGACGTCCTGGTGCTCTCACAGGTCTTCTAAGATCAGGTGAGACGGGGTCCACATGCTGATCGATGGCTCGAACTGCCTTCACGCCCAACCTGACTGACAGCTATGAACACCTCGTCCTCTTACACAGAGAGAGAGACTCCCCTCCTCGGGCAAGAATGACACACACGCACACACACACACACCGACACGCACACAGTATAAATGAGCGCATACCTCACGTCAATTTGTGTTGCGTGAGCTTCTTTTGAAAAGGGTTGGAGACAAATAACAGAAATAACTTGTGCTGCGGAGGTTGAGCTCACCGCAGGGTATTTTCCATTTGTTGTCCCGAGGCATTAAAACACCACTAACATCCACCACGCCGCACTATAATCATCACGCCCGCCCCCGCCCCATTATTTTCCAGCCAAAGGGGCTGTGATATTTTAGTTTTCTTTTTTGTTTCAGTGGAAACACACACAATTATCTAACGCCATTCATCAATTGAAGGCAATTTAAAGGAATGTGCGTTTTACCTGTCAGAAATAAACAAAAGATAAACATTTGTTGGAGTGCAGCAATCGAAATGCAAACACGGCAGCAGGCATGGAGGGCTCCTCCAGGGCTCACTCAGCCTAGAATTTTCCAAAAGCAAACAACTTGTCAGTAACTGCTAGATATGGGATTTATTTTTTCCAATAGTCCTGATGAAAATGCCAAAGCAAAGGGTGAAATCTTTCTTTGCTCAACTCTAACCACAACAGAGTTCTTGAGTTGATGCTGACTCTGACTAATGTTTATCTACGACTTTGGATCCCGCGGTGGGCGCTGAGTGTTTTTGAAAAAGTGTGAGGGTGACCTGGCAGCAGAGAAAGCAACTCCCACCGCCTGTGAAACACCTACGTTGCTAGTTTGCTTTCCCAGATGGACGTGAGCCGCCAGGACAGAGGGAGCGAGGAGGCAGAGCTGCCAGAGCCAGGCCTGGACCGCAGGTGCTCACAGAGGCAGGGATTGTTCCCTCTGGAGACGGACGCCGGGGGGTTGGGGGAAACCGGAAGGTATATATATATATATATATATGAGTGTAGACACATACATGCACACACTGAGACCTGCCCATCCAGCTCCTTGATTACGTCAATCTTCCAACACCGCCTTCACACCTCGGCTCCCCGTCAAGGGCCTACCGGGCTGCTCTCACCGCTCAAGGCCCAGACGCCCGCATTCCTCACGCCAGTGTGAGAAAGAGGTCGCAGGGGATCAGGGGCCAAGCGGAGTCAGAACCATGACGGGCCGGCAAAAGCCAAAGGAAAGCCAAACCCGCAGGAGCCCTGCCTTTTGGGAAGGGGCCAGCTGGGAGCCTCTCGGAGTCGTGCAAACGCAGACGGTGCAGAGGGCAGACCAGCGCTGTGTGTGTGAGTGTTTGTGTGGGGAGTCGGTGCCAGTGCGGTGGTGTGCATAGCTCAAATGTGAGTGAGCCAATGCCAGGCAAAACAGAATGATCAGTCAAAACATCCCTCCAAAGTTTCCTGTTTTTTGTTAAACTTACATACAAATGTCTCGGTGCAGGTTACGGTATTTTCAGAAATTCGGGAGCCTCGCTGATTGAAAAATAACGTAATGGACGCGTTTGATCCGGCATATGTGGACCGTTAAGAGTCTGTTAAGGCATTAAGTGAAAAAGCTGCTTTGAAACACCAGACTATTTCATCTTTGACCACTGCTGCCAACAAAATCGACAAAAACATGAAAGCTAAGGAGATGACAGAGAAAGGCGTCAGAGGAGAAGTTGTAGTAAAACATAAATACTTTGTGCTGCAGGGTGGGATGGAAATGAGATGTGGAAATGATAAAATGGCCTATTCACTGAAAAGCCAACAGAACAGTGATTAATTTTTTTTCCTGTGGATATTTCGGTCCTCACCAAACCATTCAGCTCACGTTATTCTAGGAACATCAAGCGATGGAGGGAGGAGGGGTTAGGGGAACAGTGGGCTGTATTCTTTCCCTCTCAATCTCAAACCCGCCTGCTCGCCCCTCAATGGCACTTTGTCTGCAAGTTTGTTGGTGTTACAGTGAGTTTGAGGGCACGCGGAGACGAGACCGGGTCCTGTCCTCCAATGAGAGAGCTTTGCGAGGTATCTCCCTAAAAAGGTGGATTCATTGGGGTCTGGAGTGGAACAGGAAACCCTGCCCTGAGCCAGACTCTTTGGACCTACGGGTACATGTGTGCAGGCCTGGCTGCTGACTGTTTTCCTTTCTGTTGACCTGCTCCACTGCTGTTGGGAAACGGCACTCCCTCACTTAAGTAGCTTCATGCAAATAATTCAAACACACGTAGAAAGTTAAAAAAAAGAAAATGGAGTAGTGTACTGTTCCGATCAAATTCTTGCAAAAGCAAGTAACTTGTTGAAATCTGTTGAAATGAAGTGTTTCCGTATCGGCTATGTGGACTATAAATTAGAGGTACGTGACGTTGAGCCAATTTGTATCTGCTTTTCTGCAAAAATGGATGTAAATAACTGGGGTGAGCTCCGGTTAGCTCAGCTGCAGGGGAGTGAGAGCGGGGGAGTGGTTCAGGGAACGGTGCCGGTAAGTGGATAACGAGCGCAGCTCATTGATATCCAGACTTATTGGCCCCCGCCATGTAAAAACTGAGCAGTATAATCTCGGAGAGGAGATTGATCGGTGCGCTCGGAGGCTCGACAGGAGAGCACGACAACACAAGAATGAAAATAAATTTGTTGCCACCGAACCCCCACCCGGTAGCTCCATCCTTGCTACTGATGTGAGCCTAATAGTATAAATCATAAGCCCGTTGATCATGTAAATCATCTCCGTAATGTGTAGCAAGTCGATATCTCCGCCAAAGTAAAACCTTTATTACTGTCAATGTGTAAAAACAGCATTGTTGCAAATATTGTGTTGCGGTGTTGAGCTAAGATCTTTCCAACGTGCAGTTACGGGATTACAGGAACCTTACCTGTTTGCAACAAGCCGATTCTACTGTCGGATACGTCGTAATGCCGCTGGATGTCGAGCAGAACACCTGTTAAAAAGAGGAGAGGGAAAACATAAATGTGGTTTCAAGGCATAACAATAATCACAACTGAAACACTGAGCTCTCTTTGATTTAAAACGCAATTTATCTTTTGTGGCTTGGGATATTGTTGGATATAATGGATAAAACAGGGAATCATTCAATAATAAGTGTGCTCTTAACTGCCAACTTTCAGTAAATGCTCGCAAAGATTTCCCTGCCGTTGTTGTTGTTGTTTCCGGGTTTTAACCACTCAACGCGCCGTGGAAGAAAGACACAAGCGCACTTCCATCACACACCTCCACCATTAACTTCCCAGACCAGCGGCGCCAGTTGATTTTTCATTTTCCAAATGACACTGTAAGCAAGCATGTGAGGTGGATACTTGTGGTGGCTCTCATAAGTCACACAAACACGCAGCAGAGATCACTCCACTGGAAGAAACCACGAGGCCTTTGAAGTCACGTCAAACCTGTTGGTTGAGTCCAACAGAAGTTGGAATGATGAGAATTCTCCTACTGTGCAGTGTGCATGGCTTTAATCCATTATTGAATGAATGCATTGCACCTGCTTGCTGACAGACAGCACAGAGTAGGCGTCTTGCAGAGCTGAATAACTGTTCATCCATCAACATTATGACTAGTGTGTGTTCAACATTGCCTGAATGTAAAGCATGCACACAAAATCTCATAAACTTTAACACATCGTAAACATCAGACCATCGAGATGAAGAAGAACATCAGACGTTGATTAAATAACAGTTGAAGAAAGCCACTTTACGTCTACCACCATTTTAAGACCCAGTAAAGCAACGTGTCTCCTCAAATTAATTCTGCTCCTCTCAAGACCACCGGCTTGGAAAGGCTTATTTTTCAAAACTGAGAAGAAAAGGAAAAGGCTGCAGTCTAGCTGCATGTGCTCGCCAGCGCTGCTTGGTTCTCCGTGAAACTGGCAGGCGAGTCTTGGGGATTGCAACAGCGCTCATAAAAATGAAACAGCAGCATGTCTAACATTTTAAAAAGCTGGCTGCGTCTGATCTGTCTGCTCCTCTCCTCCGAGCAACGCAGACCAGCCTGACCCGGCGTAACCTTCAGAGACTACCCGAGCATCCCGTCCGTGGGATCTTTTTGCAACTTCAAGCTTGACAGACAGTAAGATGAGTTCGCAGAACGCCAAGCCAATAATGCGCTCAACACAATGGATTTTTTTTGTTTTCTGTTTTCATTGTCTAATTGTTAACAAAGGCGGTTGCGATTCAAGAGAAAGGTGCAGGTTGGACAGCAGAGACATACGTCAGATTCCTGTCATGTGAGTCAAAACCACCTGCCCACATTCTCACAGCATTCCTGTACGAGAGCTGCACTCGACTCTCTACGCCTCGTTCCCCCTTCGTGAGGATGAGGTGCTCTCTTTCAATTTCATTGAAACCAAACCTTCAGTCAATTACTGAGAAAGAATGAAGAGAAAAAAAAACACTGCAGTTTGATCTGCTGCATCACTTCTGCATTTGCGTGTTGTAACTGTGCTTCTTGTTAGCGGGTCTCACAGCAGTGGAATAGTGTTAATTATGCTGCAAACGCCTTCAGGCAGGTAAGACTCAATTTGCCTTTTCTAGGCATCTCAGTTCATATCCAAGTCCAAGTCAGTCTGATCATATTCAGGCACGTCAGAGATCTAGTACAGGTTGCCATCACGACGTGGCCTTGGCAGACTAGTTTGCTGCGACAGCGACTCAACGTCCCTTCCCCTTTGTCAAGTCTGTCAAAAAGCGCCAACAGTGCTTTAACAGTGTACTGTACGACTGCAGCTGTACTCTAATTAGCCTGGAAGAAGGCTAGCACACTTACACACACACACACACACACACACACACACACACACACACACAGTCACACATTTACAGCCTGCTGGGAGGGGGATTCCTACGCCAGATGGTAGAGCGTCCCTCCTGGACAGAGTCTTGATTTGTCTGAGCCACACCCGCCTACATTTACCACACAATCATCAGACAATTAATAAAGGTGGAGCTGAAAAAAAAGGCTGTTCGCTGTAACAAAAGAAAAGCGGAGCTGTGCTTGTTAGATAAGCTAGAATCAGTGTGTGATGTTGTCCTCCCCAGCAGATAAGATCTAGTAAAAAAGCACATGAAAACGCTGCATGACAAGTTATTATGAAGAAGTAGTGAAGCGGTGGATGGTAATGGTGATCAAAGTAACAGGGTTTATTTTACGAGATTCAAGTGCAATGAGCTGCGTAATGAAGTGTGGTAATCTGTAAGGGATTACTGAGAGCCAGCAGCTCTGCGTTTGTGTAGCAGCGTATCAAAACTATCATCTCCGAACTCAATGTTGGCAATGATACTCAGTCCTTTGGTTTCCCTTCTCCCCTACATTTACAATTCCTCGACCCTTCTTTCTTTTGTTGATGGATCATTTTGGGATGTTTTGGTGTTATTAAGAAAGAAGGACACAGTGATATTGCTGATAAGGCAGTAACACGGCCCGCCGCCCATGGAAGCTGGCAGCGCCCAGTTCAGTTGCCATGGCGATGCTGTACCAGATAAAGGTCAAGAAACCACAAAGGAGCTCAACTTGCCAAAAACTGCCCTTATTTTAAATTCTATCTCAGTATCTGCTCACATTCCTTTAGGTACACAGGTTATTATATGAGTTTAATGGAAACATGTCAGGTCACTACTCTGATTGCAAGGAGAGTGCATCTCACGTACTGTAAATTAGTTTCTCAAGTGTTGGGGTGGGGACCCAGCGGGGGATCTGAGCATGAGGGAATTTGGATCAGTCAAGGTAGCAGCACTCACAGAACACGGGCCACTAACCCAGTACAATGCCCAAGCTCTTAGTTTACCTTCGATTTTGTTATTTTTTCATCTTTCTGACTTTGAATAATCATTTGGTCCATTTGCTGCGGGTTGATTCCCTTCACGCACGACTGACTTGTTCTGCGACGTGCAACAGCACAATCCAGAGCAGCATTATCAACTGGGTGACACTTCAGGAGTGAGTTGAGCAAGACAGTGTGTCATTTATTCCAGTCTCATAACGTCTGCCTTTATGATCACTTTGCAGTGTAGATTGAGAAGAAATGACTTAAAAACATGACTTCAACACGCCACAAATGCTGCTTTTATAGCAGTGTATGATTATAGAGAATAGTACTTTCTTTCAATCTCTGCTGTTTCCATTATACGGCTACCAGCAGAAGTTCACTGACTTTGCAGGCCAGGATTTGTGAATCAATGTAGATCAGACGCAGGTCCAGAATATTTGCTGCGCTAGTCCGCTGCTACCCTGAGCCGCTCCGGGTTGCGTGGTTCAAACACAATGCATGTCAAGTCCTTGTGTCGGTTTCCCCTTGTTTGTTTTTTATTGTTGTGGCTGTTACAACCTCTCCGGAGGGTCGCGACCCCGCAGTTTGGGAATCACCGATCCAGGGGAAACATTTAAATGAGGATACAGCATGCTGCTTTAGCAAGGCCAGCTCTTTGTGTTGTGACGCACTATGCAAGCATTGGTCCTCTGGGGCCACCATACACTCAGAAATACACCACAAGTGAACACGCACACAAAAACATGCAGCACAAACACACACACACACACACCATACGGCCGTACATGCACACATAGACAAAACCCGGTTTGGAGAGGACAGATTTCATATCAAATCCCCAACAGAGACTGGTGGATCTCCGGCCACCCTTGGTTCTATTTCTGCACATAGAAACTAGGCTAAGAGGAAGGAGAGAATAGCAGTCCAATTCAACAGTGACGCGTGTTGGAGAGACACACAGAAAGGAAAGGAGTCATGTGGAGCGAAGAAATAGGTGGTGGCTAAAACCCGGTCCGTCTGGGCTGGAATTGTTTTGCAAAGCATATATTTCCACTGTTTATATATACATTATATATATATAGTATATATCTGTGTGTACGCCTGTTCCCCTTTCCCTTGGTTTCACTGTGTGTGTTTGTGTCAGAGTGAGAGAGAGCCAATAGATGGAAGTCATTCATTCTGGCTAGAGTGCGACGGGCAGCGGTGAACCGCGCTGCTGATGTGGCCAGATCCTTCCCCTTCATTCCTGCAACGGGGTGATTCCTTTTCATGTGTGAACCCCATCTGTATAAATAGTCTATGAGAGGAAGATGGGGGTCGATGGGAGGAGGAAGAGGGGGGGGGGGGGTGGCTTAATGAGGGAGGTGAAAGTGCATCTTTTTTGGTCGTTCACAAGACCAATTTGGGTGATTTGAGCGCGTGAGAGACAGTGGCACAAACAGAGAGAGCGGCGGAGTGCAGCGGCGGGCCGCGCTGCACAGCCTCTCAGAGGGGAAAGCCGACCGCAAAAATGCTCGACTGTGGCCGGCGGGCTCCTGACCGACTGCTCTCCTCCCTTGCCATGTGGCCGCAGTGGGCGGGGGGGGGAGCTTTTTCCATTCCACTTCCTCTCCCTGCCACACAGAAAGGAAACGTGCTGCAAACGTCTGGGAAACAGTGGAGAGCTGTTTGCACATGAGGGTTTTCAAAACCCTTGCAGAAGAATAAAAATCAGCGAGTGAGTGAGTGAGTGAGTGAGTGAGTGAGTCCTGCTTTCACGTTGGTAGCAGGTCAAATGCATGTGTCATATATTGTTTTGAAGCCAGAATGAAATATTATCTACATGAGTGTTGAGCTTTGCTGACTGAAGGAACAGTGTGGAGTGTTTGACCACATAGTAGTGATATTACATATATGGAGCCATGTTTTTACGAGCATGCTCCTGCGTTGTTCGTGCACAATAAGAACGATGCACATTTTGCAGATGCTTCATGAGAAAGAAGCTTTTGTCAACATGTTTGTTAGATCTCAAGGATGCACAATAGGTTATGGTGAGAAATTACACCTAATATATATTCTTTCAGTTCAGCAGTATCATTATGTCTCTCAGAACTATTGGCTCGGAATGTACTTGCTGGATCATATTTCATCGTATGCACATTTAGCAACACATCCACGCAAAT